CAGGGGGTCTAGAGGTAGGCAGGGGTTTGGGGGAGCATCAGACTGTAGGAATTGCTGGGAATAGGAATGGGGTCTCTTAGACTGGGGAATTCTCATAGGCTGGGGGCTGGGGGGTGGGATTCTATGGATCTCTTGAAAGTAGAGCAAGATGGAGGTCTCAATAACTAGAGATCCCTGGAAGGTGAGACTTTTTGGGGAGAGGATGAGGAATTTGTAGGGGCCAGGCTGGGGGGTTCTGGAGGAAGTGAAGGTCTCTGAACACCACATGGAACAGAACAGGGAGGGTCTTAGAAGCAAGTTGGAGGGTCTTGAGGAGTGGGGTTTATAGGAGCAGGGCTAGGTGGGTCTGAGGAAACTGGGTTAGGGAGTATCTGGGAGGTGCGATTTTGGGAGCTGTCTGAAGAGGTTTTGGGTCATGGGAATGGAGGTCTAGGTCCAGCCCTACCTGACCAGGTGACAAATCTGCAGCCGCCGCCGTTCCTGCGTGCTCCCTGTAGCCTCCTGGTACTTGGGTTTGGTCAAGGTTCAGTTACCCAGCATCCCAGACCTGCCCCGCTCACCGGGTCCCCATTTCTGAGGCTCTTGCAACTCTGCCCTCCTCCCTTTACCCCTTGCTCCACCCCAGGAGGATATAAGGTCAGCAGACGGGCAGCCAAGTGGGCAGAAGGCAGCACCCAGCTATGCATGGCCAACACCATGTTGAGAATGTGGTCCCCATGGCGAAGGCTGCCAGCTGAGTCTGGGGTGGGTGGAAGAAGGGGACTGTGTTGGAATGACCCCTGAACAACAGGCTTCACAGTCCTGAGGGTTGGTTGAACAGCCTGGTTCCAACCCAGGTTCTACCAGCAACTTCCTATATTAATCTTCTCATGTCACAGTTTCCTCGTCTGGATCATACATAACGCAGAGGTTAAAAGCAAGGACTCTGGGTTCAAATCCCAACTCTGTCACTTCCTAATTATGCTACTTTGATTAGTGATTGAATCTCTGTTGCTTTGGTCTCCCCATGTACACATTATACGGTAACTGGCCACAAGGTCCCCAGTATGCAATGAACAAAGGAGGGACAAAAAAAGTATCCCTCCCTGTCTCAGGAAGGATGTCTCTTTCATTCCACAACCTCCTGTTTCCATGTTATACCCCAGACACTAAGGCCTAGATAGAGGTGAGTACTTGGCTCAGCGTTAGGACTTGGAGGCTGGCGGGGGAGGGGGCACTCACCGAAGGACTGGATACACTTCTCTATGAGCTCCTCTTCACTGCAGCCACCATTGCTCAATACGCCCAGCGCCATGGAAGCCATAACCTTGCTGATTTCTCCGGGGCTGGGGCACGTCTTGTGACGGCGGGCCTGTCGGGGCCGGGCCCTCGCCCCTGTCACCCCCAAGCATTCCTGGTGGGACTTCCTACAGACACAGCCCCCGGGGAGTTATTTAGCGGACCACTAAAATTCCTTTTGACTTCAAAACCCCAAGGCATCATGGGAGGAACTTTTATAAGGGCAAAGCCCCAGAGTTATAGGTATACCCCACTATTTCAGACCCTCAGGAAGCATGAGAGTCCTCTCCAAGTAAATTATCAGGGAATCACAGGAAAAGACCCCAGGACTACTAAAGACCTGTCAGGGAACCATGGGAACTCCCTCCTCCAGATGGCTCCAAATCCCTCTTGTTTGGCTAGGCCCAAGACATCATGGAAGAGGCTTCTTGTAAGCAGACCTCAGGGATTACTCCTGCTCTCCCAGGGAGTCATGAGGGGAGACACCCCCCCATCCCCCAGGATCATTCCTGACCTCCCTAGGGGTAATTATGGTAGATCCTGCTTTTAGGTGGTTTCCCTAGAATTCCCCATTGGTCTCTAACCTCTCCCCTACCACCTACTAAGAGCAGGTTTCTGCAGACCTATCCCTGAAATTCCCACTCTTAGCGTAGCACTTAGAATTAGGCTGCTAACTTCAAGGTCAGCAGTTCGAAACTACCAGCTTTTCCGCGGGAGAAAGATGAGGCTTTCTGCTTCTGTAAAGATTTACATCCTGGGAAACCCTGTGCAGGGTCACTATGAGTTGGAATCGACTCCACGGTACTTAATAACAACAACAGCTTTCCCTACTCCATATCCACTAGGGGGCACATCCCCTCCCCAAATCAGCTCTTCAGCAGGGCCAAATCATAACGCCAGCCAGGTCCCTGGATCTGGGGCCTAGAGAGCAAATACAGAGCTAGGCGGGGTCCCTGGGGATAACCAGCTTCAAGGAAAGTTTAAAAATAACCCTCAGCCTGCCTTGGGCCTCCCCAGGGCTCCTGTTCCAGTTGGGGAAAGAGGGTAATGGAGAGACTGGGATGATGGGAGGAAAGAGGAAACCGAATCAAGCAGCATGACCGTGGGTCACACAGGAATCAGAAAGGACTGGGTTCGAGACTGGCTGTGTGACTTTGTATTAGTAACTTAATTTCTCTGAGCCTCAGTTTCCTCGTAAGAAAAATGAAGATCTTCCCTAGAACCTTGTGAACATTGAATGCCTCACTCTCCCAAAGAGCTAAATACTGGACTCAGCTTGCCCAGGCTGTTAAGTAGCCAGAGGTGGAAAAGTTGAGAGAAAAAGTGATAGAGGAAGACTAAAAGCCAGATCTGGGGATGGGGGCTGGGGACCAGAAACAGGGAGACATCCAAAAACCAAACGGAACCAAATCCAAGCCAGTTGCTGTTGAGTTGGTTCTAACTCATGGTGTCTGTAATATGTGTCAGAGTGGAACTTAATTCCACAGGATTTTCAGTGGGTGATTGTTTTGGAAGTAGATCAGCAGGTCATTCTTCCAATGTGCCTCTGGATAGATTGAAGCACCACCCAAGGACTCCTGGCACATCCTAAGGACCCAATATATTGGTATTGAATGTTGTTGAACAGGAGTTGAGCATTCATTAACTGTTTAATATACACCAAGGAGCACTGGTGGCACTGTAGGCTAAGCACTGGACTGCTGACTGTAAGGTTAACAGTTTAAACCTCTCCATGGAAGAAGGATGCGGCTTCCTGCCTGGTAACGATTTATACCCTCAGAAACCCTATACCGGGTCTCTATGAAATGGCAATGACTTGACTCGATGGCAGTGGATTTTTTTTTTATTTATAGGCACCAGGCAAGGACTCCTGGTGTGGCCAGGATCAGTCCAGGATCAGCACTGGACTGGGAACCACAAGGTCAGCAGTTCAAACCCATCAGCTGCTCTTTGGGAACCCTATACAGGGTTGCTATGAGCTGGAACCAACTCAACGGCACTTCACAATAACATGTCCTCATCTAGATCATTCTCAGAATGTGGTCCTTAACTAGTAGCAATATCATAACCTGGTATCTTGTTAGAAATGCAAATTCTCAGGCTGCTCCTCAGACCCTCAGAATCAGAAATGTAGGAGGTTAACGCAGTAATCTGTATTTGACACACCTTCCAAGAGGTTTGCAGGAAAAAGTTGAGGCTGTCTGTTCCCTTAAAGATGTACAGTCTTGGAAACCCTAAGGAACCGTTCTGCTCTGTTCTATAGGGTGGCTATGAGTCAGCGGCTATGTGGCCAAGTGGTCTGAATCCTGGCGCAGGTGGGAGAACACTAACCTACACTCTCACTAAGGACTTACAAGCATCTCTGAGGTAGGGTCTATGGTTATCCTATTGCCAGAAGAGGAAATTGAGACATAGGTTTTAAATGACCTACCTAAGGTCAGGTAGCTGGGAAATGATATAAGTACCTCTGGCCACTAAATTGCTGTATATTCCAGGAGGGATATCCCTTTGCTCAGCAGTGATATGCTGGGGGAGGCTGGTGGAGCTGTCTACACTAGGGACTCAGCTATCCTCGGCCCCCAGTGGGCACAGGAGGACAAATTTGCTACCACAGGTGGCAGTAAACCCAGTTCAGGACCCTTCCTTACCTCTGGACTGTCAGGTCCTATAGTGTCTGCAGAGCCAGCAGATGATTAAGAGGCAGGGGAAGCGGCTAGCCCTGCGTCACACTCCCCTCCCCTGGAGCAGGGCCCTATAGGAGCCTGGAATTTTCAGTGCAGGGGGCAATAGCTGCACAGTAAGACCCCAGGGAGGACAGAGACACTCAGGAGAGGTGGGGGGAAAGGGAGATGTTGGGGGGTGGGGAAAGGCACAGACATTCATATACCAACAGCCACAGCCTGAGCTCAGAGCTCCACTGAGGGCTCAACCCTGGGCCTGGGTCATACTGAGCGCTCACTAAGTGCCCAGCTGTTATTCAACAACATTCAATACTGATCCATGGCAACTTTAGGCTGTGCCCAGGAGGCCCTGGACGGTGCACTTGGCTGTTACCTGGAAGGTTGGAGATGCGCGTTCATGCAGAGGTGTGTTTGAAGAAAGGCCTGGCGCATCATTCCGCCTGGCACCCCTTGTTCCAGATGTGGGGGGAGGGATGCGGGCACCCAAGCCTCTCAGTTGTCCCTCCCCACCTTCCCACTCAGCTGCAGGTGCAGGGGTTTAGGATGCTCTGGGTCTCCACAGAGGGTCCTCCTACCTCTTGCTGTCTTTCCTGTTCATGTTCCTGCAGGGGAGGGGGTCCTGCCAGAGTGTGTGCAGCTCCTCCCCCGGGCTCCAGCTTCTTAGCTCCTGGGGAGCTAGGCCTCTGCCGTGCTAGGGAGGGAAAGAGGAACTGCCCCTCCCCACCCAGCCCCAGGCCAGGGGGAAGGAAGAGGCTGCGGAGAGACCCAGGGTCCCCTCCCCCTCATGGGGGATCCCTCCAGGCTGAGGTTTCCGGTGCAGCCCGCCTCCACCCCCAATCACCCAGCGGTCTCTCTCTATCTGCCCCATCTCTGTGTCTCTTGCCCCGTGATTCTCTGTTTTCTCGCTGGTATACTTCAATAAAAACGGTTTTGTTTTTTTTTAAAGTCTGGTTAATATGACACATTTATGTAAAAAAAAAAAAAAACCCACACACACATACTCTAAAGAAAAATCTACATTCCTAAAAGGACCTAGTCCCATATGTAATACACCAAGGTTTGAATGAAAATTCATAGAACATTCTATTTTGTATATTTCTTTTAATGTTTCTTTTATTCTAAAGCTTAGTTTGAAACACAATTGGTACCCCAAGAAACATTTTCACTTTATTACTTTGATTATAACAAACCTTTATATAGCACCTACTGTGTACCACATCCTGTTCTAAGGGCTTTAAAAATATTAATTCATTTACTCTCCACAGCAATCTTATAGATGGTTATGATTTTATTGTTAAAACATTACAGATGGAGGCAAAACACTCTGGGAGGCTTCTCCTCTTCCCACTGTCTCTCTTAGGAAGGGGTGGCCCATAACACATTCATGGGGTTTCACCCAAATGGTTGTGTGTGCATTTCTGTATGTAATTGTTGTTGTTAAGTGCTGGTGAGTTGGTTCTGACTCATAACAACCCTGAATAGGGTTTCCGAGGCTTTAAATCTTCACAGGAGCAGAAAGTCTTATATTTTTCACAAGGAGCAGCTGGTGGGCTTGAAGCACAGAATTTGTGGTGTATTGTTGTTGTTGTTAAGTACTGTCAAGTTGGTTCTGACTCATAGGGATCCTACTAAAAAATGTTGTTGTTGTTGTCAGGTGCCATCGAGTCGGAACCGACTCATAGCGACCCCATGCACAGCAGAACGAAACAATGTCTGATCCTGGGCCAACACTTGACGCCATCAATGATGCCACCTGGTTGATCCATCTCGTTGGGGGTCTTCCTCTCTTTCTCTGACCCTTCATCCTACCCAGCATGACATCCTTCTCCAGCGACTGTTCCCTCCTGACAATACGTCCAAAGTATGAGAGACGAAGCTTAGCCATCCTGACCTCCAAGGAGCACTCTGACTGTACCTCTTCCAAAACAGATCTATTGGTTCTTTTGGCAGTCCATGGCACTTTCAGTATTCTCCTCCAACACCACAATTCAAAGGCATCAATTCTTCTACAATCTTCCTTATTCACTGTCCAGCTTTCGCATCCATATGAGGTTATTGAAAATACCATGGCTTGGGTCAGGCGCACCCTAGTCCTCAAGCTGACATCTCTGCTCTTCAACACTTTAAAAAGTTCCTGTGCAGCAGATTTGCCTAATGCAATACGTTGTCTGATCTCTTGACTGCTGCTTCTGTGAGTGTTGATGGTTGATCCAAGAAGAATGAATAGGTACTAAATATATAGACTTTTCTTTTGAGAAGGAGTGTTTTGTTTTTGTTTTTTTACTGAAGTGTGACATGCTGGGAGCACAGTGGTTCCACAGGATGAGCACTGGACTTTGAACCACAAGGTCGGTGGTTCAAGCCCACCAATCACTCCAAGGGAGACAGATAAGATTTTCTGCTCCTGAAAACATTGAAAAGCCTCAGAACCCATATACAAGGCTGCTGTGAGTCGGAACCAACTTGGCTTGTAGCAACAGCGAGTGTGTTATACTAGTCATACTTTTTCACTGAAGTTCAAAAACAAGCATCAGCTGTTTTGGGGTTGACAAATTTTGATAAACTATGTATACTCATGTGACACAAATAAAGAAATCGAATGTTCTCATTCCCTAGATACTTTCTCCTAAAAGTTACTACCAGCATGACTTCTAATAGGCGTTTTGGCTGTTTTTGAGCTGTATATAAATAGACTCATCTATTCCGTCTGGCTTTTTAAATTCAACATCATGGCATTGAGACCCTTCCTTGTTATTACGTGTGATTGTAGTTTATTCCTTTTCATCACTGTATAGTACTCCATCATGTAACTATTTCACACTGTATTGATCCATATTCTTGTGGATGGACATTTGAGCTGTTTCCAGTTTGGGGCTATTGTGAATCATGCTCATCTGAACATATTAGCACATGTCTTTTGGTGAATGGATATGTATAAATTTCTGTAGGGTAGATACACCCAGGAATTAATAACTGGATCTTAGTCATTTGTGAGGATGGTGCAGGACCAGACAGTATTTAATTCTGTTGTGTATAGAATCATTATGAGTCAGAACCAGTTCGACTGCACATAACGGAAAACAATTAGTATGATTTAGCCAAGTATGGCAATGGAGGGAATTGTTCTCCCCACCCCCACCCCCCAAAATATGTATTGAATTCCTAGCCTGTGGATGTAATCTTGTTTGGGATTAAGGCTTTCTTTCATGTTAATTAGGTTATACCAGTGTACTGTGACCTCAGAATTCAAAGCCTTTAAAATTGATCACTTCTCTTTCTCTCTCTCGTCTGATCCCTGGCGCGCTGGGAGCTACAAGCAAAGGTGCAGACATGGCCAAGTCTGAGAACCACACCCCACACAACCAACCAGTCCTGAAAATGGCACAGAAATGCCATCAAGAAACCCAGATCACAACCATCTGAGCCTCTTCAAGGGGTGGACCCCAAGTTTCTGAGGATCATGCACTTTTCCAAGAAACACAACAAGAAAAGCCTGAAGTAGATGCAGGTCTTGAATGCACGTGCTGAGGCCCTCAAAGCTCTCATGAAGCCCAAGGAGGTCAAGCTTAAGATCCCAAGGGGTGTCAACTGATAGCCCAGTCAACCAGCCTACATTGCCCATGTCAAGTTGGAGAAGCATGCTTGGGTACGCACTGCCACTTTGAAGCTTTGTGGGCCAAAGTCCAAGGCAAAAGCTCAAAGTAAAGCTGAAGCTCCAGGCAAGGCCTCAACACAGGCTCCCAAAGGCCCCCAGGCCCCTATAAAGATGGACTAGAGTTCTGCATCTGAGGACAGAGGGACTGGTCTAACCCTTTGGGATGCCATCTGCATGAAGCTGGTGTCCTCCTGTGTTATTTGTACCAATAAACCTGAGGCAGGACAGAAAAAAAAAAAATCACTTTTGACCAGAATAGACTCAGAGGAATACACATACAGAAAGACAGACACTTTGAGGATTGTCTTCAAGCGAAAGAAGGCCAAGGAACCAAGGAATGACCAGTGATATCACCATCCACAAACCTACTACCATTGAGTCAAATTTGACTCATAGCAAACCTGTATAGGGTTTCCAAGACTGTAAATCTTTACAGAGCAGAAAGCCTCATCTTTCTCCCACAGATCGGCTGGTGTTTGAAATGCAGACCTTGTTAGCAGTGTGTGCTTGTCCTATAGCACCATACCAGGGCTCCATACCAGGGCTGAACAGCGTTCCTGAAAGTCTATTTTTTACACATGAGGATGAAATTGATGGGTCGAGACTCTGATTTAAATTTTTAGCTTCTTAAACTGTGAGAAAATGTTTTTTGTTCCTTATAGTCATCGCAAACCCTTCAGGAACAGTCTTCTCTGTTGTATATGATCCTTGTTGTTGTTGTTGTTGTTGTGAGGTGCTGTGGAGTTGCTTCCAACTCATAGCGACCCTGTACAGGGTTTCCGAGGCTGTAAATCTTTACTAGAGCAGAACGCCTCATCTTTCTCCTGTGGAACAGCTGGGAGTTTCGAACTGCTGACCTTGAGGTGAGCAGCCCAATTCGTAACCACTATGCTACCAGAGCTCCTTATATGATCCTTAGGAGTCACAAATGACTTAATAGCAGTGGACTTGGGTAAAGCCACTTACTTGTGGTGTTTGTGTTACCGCAGCACTAGGAAACTGAGATACATACAATGTTAGTTGGTGAAATCAACAGCTTTCCTGAAAGTCTATTTTTAAAAAAACTTAATTGTGAACTGAGTGAAGGTTTACAGATAAGATCATCAGTTTTCCATTCAACAAACCATACACTTAGCTTCATCTCAATGATTGCAATCCCTTTCCTGAAACAACAGTGATCCTGCTTCCTCTCACTGGTTCCTATTTCCAGCCCACCCTCCTCCTCATCCCTTCTCACTTTCGTCCTTAGGTACATGTTGCACTCTTGCTTTTGAAAGATTGACCATTCTATGGTGAGCAGACCTTACTAGAGTTGTTGTCTCCCCATACATCTATCTACTGCTTGGCTGAAAATTGGACCACGAGGTGAGTTCCTTTGCAGACCTGAGGGGCGGTCAAGGGCCAGAGTCTCCAGGTTCTTCCCGTGTGTTTCTGACTAGTAAGCCTGATCTTTTTTATATATCATTTTGAGTTTTGTTCTACATTTTCTGCCACTCTATGATCCGTTTCAGAGCAATTGGTAGTGGTAAGCCAGGCACCATCTAGTTCTGTTGGTCTCAGAGTCTTGGAGACTGATATTCACATGTTCCATTAGTCTACTGGACTAATGGATGCAAATCATCTTTGATTCTCATCTTTGATTCTCTATCATTCGTCTATCTTCCATACATAGAGAGAGCAATAGTTGCACCTTCTGAAACTGAGTGCATTTTTTGCTTCATCACTGAAAGAAGTCTCCCTGGATATTTTTCATGTCAGAACATGAAGACAGGCACAGAGCCCGCTCTTTTTAGTTTTTCCATCACATGGCATGCCACAGTATCAGACTCTCTCTCTCCAACTCCTCCTGCCTCTGAATTTCCCCTTCTCTCTTTCCCTCGACTTCAAGCAGCAGTCTATCCTGCATTATCTTTCTCTCAACCCATCTCCGGCAGCACCTGCCT